GAGGCACAGGGCCCGGCCTGGCATGGGCACAGCTTCAGCCCATTCCTCCCCTGGGAGGCCTTGGACCCAGCTTGCCCATGTCCTGGGGCTCCTCTCTGTATGTTTGTGTCCGGCTCTGCTCTCACCAGCCCCTGTGAGAGTCTCTCCCTGTCTCTCTCTGTCTCTCTCTCATGCACTCCTCCCTACCTGCCTCTGGCACTGTTGCCTGGGACCCCAGCGTGTTGGGGGCCTGTTGACATCTCCCCAGGTAACTCATTGGGCTGTGACTCACTCCTCTCCTGCCCCAACTTGTCCCTGCTCCTGCCCCAAAGCACCCCAGGCCCCGCCTCCAGTAAGGTGAGGGGGCTGAACAGCTGGGCTGGGACCCTTTCAGTGAGGGTCCTAGACATGGTCCCTAGCTGGCTGATGGCTAGTCACCTCTTGGAGGCCTGTGGCCACTTCTCCTGGCCTCTCCACAGAGGCCTGGGGGAAAAAGCCCTGTGCGCTCCCATTCCACCCCCGCTGCAGGGGTTCTTCCTGATGAACCTGTGGAACTGCTCTCTTGCCCCCCGCCCCTCAGGCCCGCCCAGCTAGCTAGTGGGAGTTCACCTCCTGGCAGGGGAAACTGAGGCAGGGAGCCAGCCCTCAGCTGCCCCCATCCCCCCTGGGCACTCCTAGCCTCCCCGAGCTTCCTCCAGGCCTGGGGCTACTCCTGGGTTGGGTGGGGGACTGGGAGGGCCAGGAGGGCTCCTCCTGGGAAGCCAAGGCTAAGGGAAGGCGGAGGCGCTGCCAGGCCCCAGTTGGAGGAGGCAGGTCCCGAGTTGCAGGGCTGGTCCGACTGGGAGGGGTCCTGCGTGCTCACGCCCTCGGATGCCAGTGGACTGGACACGCCACCCAGGAGCGCTTCCCTTGGCCTGGGTTTGGAGTCTCGAGACCCTGGGCCCACTGAGGCAGCCTCACATGGGAAGTCCAGAGACCACCCTTCCGCCCAGGCCCTACAGGACCATCAGTCCTACCTGCCCTCTGGGGCTGCCCATGCCTCTGGGGCTGCAGGGTCTCTGGACCCAGGCCCACAGCTCCTATTGGAGGAGTCCTCAGCTTCTCTGGGAACAAGGAATGTCACCCGTCAGGTCCCCCCTGACAGGCTCCGCCTGGCACTGCTGGGAGCCAAGCACTACAGTTGGGGTGAAAGTGGTGCCGCCAGCAGCCCTAGAATGTCCTGGCCAGCCAGTGTCAGCCCCCGCCCTCCAGGCAGGAAAGAACTAGAAGTCCCATCAGCCCCCTGGGGCAGAGGCAGCCTGAAGTCTGGAGGTGGGTCCCAGAGCCCTGGATTAGGGAAGCCAGAGGGCTAGGTGGTGGGCAGAGCCAGTGCCTCCACCTTCTGCCCCTCTGCGCCACCTCCTCCTCCTTGCCATCCTCCCTGGGAGGACATTCCTGCCCACCCCCCCACCTCCCAGTGCCCTGAACCCCTCTTTGTACCGCCTCAGCCAGCCCCTTCGTCGCGAAGGTGAAAGAGCTGCGTCTGCAGAGAGAGGACTTTGAAATCTTGAAGGTGATCGGCCGAGGAGCCTTTGGGGAGGTGAGCAGAGTAGCCTGCAGGGAGTGAGGGGCCCGGGAGATGCTTGCACCCCAACAGCTTGCTAACCCTACCTCCTCATGGCCACAGGTTGCCGTGGTGAGGCAGAGGGACAGTGGCCAGATCTTTGCCATGAAAATACTGCATAAGTGGGACATGCTGAAGCGGGCTGAGGTCAGTTTGGGGCCTGGTGGGACTCAGGCACCCACCAATAGTCGGGGGCACCCATGGGCATCCAGACAGGGGCTGGGCATTGCAGCCAAACAAGCCGAGGGTGCCATCCCCAACATCTGCCCACCGCCCCGTCGACCTTAGCCTTTCTTAAAAGCCAGCAGGTTGGTCCCATGCCCTTTAGACAACACGGAGGCCCACCGCCTGGGGCAGGGCAAGGCTGGGCCTGCCATCAGCGTCCTGGACTTACCGGGGGTCTTTCTCCTCGGTGCCCTGGGCCAACTGCAGGGTCCGGGCCTTGACTTCATCCACCTCTCTCCTCCTCTGCTGCAGACCGCCTGCTTCCGAGAGGAGCGTGATGTCCTGGTGAAGGGGGACAGCCGTTGGGTGACCGCCCTGCACTATGCTTTCCAGGATGAGGAGTGCCTGGTGAGGCCCCTGGGCAGGGTGGGCAAATGACCCCGGAGGCCAGGGATGTCGAGACACCCCCAGCCCCCGCCCCAGGCTGATCTCTGCCCCTACCCCCACCCCCCAGTACCTGGTGATGGATTACTATGCCGGGGGGGACCTCCTCACCCTGCTGAGCCG